CCAGTGACATCTGACCAATTAAAAAGTTGCTGATTAATAGCAGTTTATAACAGAAATTTCTTCAAATCTTAACGTGATTTACCGTCGTCGCACATGTCACGTGACTTTCGGTAAAATTTGAGGCACTCGGTGGGGGGAAATGGAACGTATTTGCGCACCGCTAGCGGGGTTATTAATTGTTTCACTTTTGAATATCATCAGCATTATTATTATATTATACCAGTGTCACTCTGTGTATTCGTTTATGAAATTCCGTTAAAATATAAATTAAAATAACAAAAAACTGAGCTTCTGACGGTCTTTTTAAGTCCATGGTAGATGTACAAATAAGAACGGGATATTATATATTTTTTCCTCCAAATTGATATAAATGCTTAACATATTTTTATAGAAATAAAAGGTATCACTAGATCATTATGATCTGACCTTCTTTACTTCTATTATCATGAATATCATCTATGCATCTAAGCACGGCATAGAGATCCATTTTCTACTGGGATATACAATAAATTCTATACTTTGTCCCAGGTTTATTAGTACTGTGTTCGATTTACTGGCGAACAATTTATTCAAACCATTCACTGATAAAATATTTTATTATCTTTTTTTATTGATTCATAGAGAAATAATCATTCTTAGACAACCTAAAATGGTTTAGAAATTTGTCAGGGACACCTTACCACAAGTCATATAGGCGTTCACATAAAAAAATGTTGTCTGTTTTTGTTGTTGTTTTGTTAGAAAACGAGGTGGAATATAAAGCAAGCTCTTGAATCCGTACAAAGTCCATAAACTCAATGTAATATCTATCAGATTAACGGGACAGACAAATTATTTTCACACATTATGGATATTTTAGCAACTATATTTTTAATCAACCCCGTGGTCGTGCGATTTACCGCTATGCTTAACTATTTATGTTTCATACATTATGTTACGTACATTGGCCGACAATTTCTTATTTTATAAAAAGGGCTTAATAAAAGGTAGACGATATTCGGTATTTGTACGATACATGAATTACGAGTAGTATGGACCAGTATGGACCGGTAATTCACGCATATATGGAACTACCGATTTCCCTCATTGATGCCTCAACAGGGGGCGGAGCGTTATCGATAATTGACAGGTTACGCGAATAGCAGATAAAAATGGTACAGGTACCGTTTTAAAACGTTTAAAAACACATTTTTTGGACTAACTGCTTCCAAAATTAAATCACGAATGTGTTCAGAAAAGATGCATAAATCTACTAAGCAAAAAATCTCATTTTAGGTATTTTCAGTGATAATTGACTCCGTTGTCACCTTAAAGGGCATAATTTTTACATTATACATAAGTATTCTTACATGTATTATTGGTACGAAGTGTAAGTTAAAAAAGGAAAAACACATGTATAATTATATAAACATGTATACCTTTTTGCATGTCTCAACTTTTCTATACATGTGCACCTAAATTACACACAAGATGTCACTTTTTAATATTCAATGAAAGAATTAAACGCTCTTTCGTGTAACAGTCTAATTTTTAAAAGATAATATAGACTCGATGATCTTTTATGAATTATATTACAATGTATCAGTAGCGTTTCAAAATCAGTTTTTATAAGACGGTTTCATACAATATCATCACTCTGAATCGAGCAATTCTCATAAACATAAAGAACCACTATATATACGGCACAGGCGTTTGGCACATTTGCCATGCCAATAATGGTCAAATTATCATAAATCATAAATAATCACCCCCTTGATCAGCAACAGCACCCGTTTATTGTATATATTTTATACATGATAATTTGACCATTGTTGTCATGTCAAATGTGCCGAACGCGTGTATACGAGTGATATGTAGTCAATTTTAACCATTACTTATCCTAACATATTCTTTTCTTTGTTCCAGATTATTTGAAAGTATACGGTGTTGTAATAATATATACTTGTTCTTATATTATATTGGTCTCACACAAACATACTCATATACAATATAATATAGCAAATGTCATAACAGAATTGTATTTTGTCCCATTTTCTTGCGTAACCATATCATAACATGGATCAAATGTTTTGTTATTTTAACAACTTCTGGTTTAATTTTGTACATAATGTGTCAAAGTGTATAACAAGTAATAATTAAGCGAGCTTTAGGAAAAGAATAGCACCACTATATTCATTATCACACTTGTAGCAAATAACGTTTTAATTAACAATACGAACTATACAGAAGTATAATTTGAGCCGCGTTATGATAAAACCAACATAATGCGTTTGCGACCAGCATGGATCCAGACCAGCCTGCGCATCAGTCTGATCAGGATCCATGCTGTTCGCTATCAGTTTTTCTACTTGTAAAGGGATTGGTAAGCGAACAACATAGATCCTGATCAGACTGCGCGGATGTGCAGGCTGGTCTGGATCCATGCTGGTCGCAAACCCATTATGTTGGTTTTGTCGTGACACGGCTCATTTATTGCATTTCTATGACTCTTATACTTATACGTTTAGACATTGTATTAATCAAACAGATTACATCCTTTCAAAACGTTTAAAATGTTTAACTTCTTTTGCCGCAATTTCAGCGAAAATTGTTGAATTATTGCGTTAGGGCGAATATATACATCAGAATCACCGTTGCAAATGTCATCAAATTAAAATTTGATCATAGTATTAAAGAACGGCCACCTGCGGGTTCATGTCAACACTAAAGCTAGAAAGTCTCCGTGACTGTGACAATGTCCCTATGGCATAATATAACAAATAAAGGCACAATAAACAAATGGCCAAATGCATTTGAATTTTCTTCAATTCACCCGAAAAAATGTCGTCATTCTTAAAAAAATGCATAAATGGAGTAATTTTACTGAGAAAAAAAAAACCCCGACTGATCACTCTGAATTTCCTGACCTGCAATTCTTTGTAGTTTGGTTTAATTTTCAAACGTAGTTTGTACGTGAAATTGTTTTACTACCTTTTAATTTCAAATTTTTATTTTGAACGAAATATAAAAAGTATTTCGATTTAAGATAGAGGCGCGAATTTCTGATAGTAGAAACTATTTAAGAAGTAGCTATTTCTATGCATAATTATTGTTAAGGAAAAGGGTAACACAGGATTAATATATTTAAGCAAGCGATAGTCCGCCAAATCAGAATCGTGTAACGCAAGCGGATAAACGAAAGTGAATTGATACTAATGTCGGGATAAAACGAATTGTCGCTTCGTTCGTGATTGTTTTCATATCATCATTCGTCTACGCGTTTGCTGGTTCAGATAGCAATAGTGGTTAAGTTCGCTTCATTATCACACAGTACATCCGTTCACATAACTCCTGAGCTATCAATACTACAATGGGACAGGTAGGCATAATTAGATGATATTATCTAACATATAATGGATGTGACGATAAACAGAGTCCTGAAAATAGTACTTTATATGAGAGAGTATCTATACGGACAACACACACTCACCACGTACTATCGATAGTAATAACCTCAAGCGTTGGCCTGTTAACTTGAAAGCGGTATATTTACATATATGTAGTACGCGACTTATATGAAATACACAAAAGCTGCGCTTTTAACCAATATATGAACAGCCACAAAGAAACGGATCAACGCTTCCTTAATATTTTTAACTTTTTTGGTTTCTTTTGCGGCAAATTTTGAAACCAGTTATGCTATTTCTTACAATGTAAGTAACCTGGTGAAAGAACTTTGTCAAGGCGGCGACCGACAGATGTATGGCAATCAAATGTTTGTATCACTTCCGGAAAATTCCTGCTGCAAATCTTGTGAATTGGATCAAATCTGCATCGAAAGAAAAACATGTTGCGACGACAGATGGCAACTCATTAAAAACTTCGCGGCACAAGTATGTTTACCGGGAAGAAAGGTCCATAATATGAAAAGAAGCGTCAATAGCTTAGACATAAATTATTTAGTTCGAGCACATTGTCCAAGCAACTTCTTGAATGATGATATCAGAAATAAATGTGAAAACGAAGAACCTTCCACTCTCGAAGATGTTCCGTTTGTATCGCCAAGAAAAGGTGACGTTATTTATAAAAATAGGTACTGTGCTGTATGTCACGGGGAAACCAATCCTATCGTTTGGAATCTACAAATTGACCACACTTGTATACGGAGTGTATTTTTATCGGCATACAATAACAAACATGTTCAAAATGCTTCTATAATCAACGGAAAGATTCTCAATTCTTGCGCACTTAATTTTGAGAGACCTACAGAAACTCAAACAAACTGGAAGCGCTTAATATGTGCTCTTGATGCCACGTTCGTATCGAAATACAAGATACAAGATACAAGAAAATTTATTTTACGTCGGATACATATAAACAGAAAACATTAGCTCATGAGCTATTTTCCGACAAACACTAGTATATGAACTAAACAAAAGTAAAGCAGCTAAAAAGAAAATATAAGCATAAGCACAATTAAGTACATGGAAGTAAGATATTAAAGCAACTAAAAATTATAAGCATAAGCACATCTAAATACATGGATTTAAGTTATTATAGCACCATGCATGCTTAAAAGTTACAATAATTACAAGCAAGATAAACAAATAACTGATAATATACATAATGTACATTCCTGTAAAAGAGTTATATATTAGTTAAAGACAGACATGTATATAAAAAAAAGCATAAGCACATCTAAGAATATGAAATTAAGAAAATAAAAATTTAAGATAAGTTAAAAACTACAAAAGTTACAAGAAGAAGAGTACAAAAATAAGATATACATATACACCTATGTACATACCTGTAAAAGAAATATAATAGATATATATATATAAAAAAAGACATACATAAGTAAAAAAAAAACAAAAAAAAACATAAAACAAAACAATGAAATTACAAGGACTATCACATAATGCAAATAAAAAGTAACATTAAACATTTATTGGTATAATATTTGCAACATCTAAAGACTTTACATAAAAGCACATATAAAAACATGTTAATCACATGAAATGACGTCACCTGGAATGGCTACTGGCATGATAAAAGAAGATCTGAACGACTTATGTTTGAATGACAAAAGTAAGTATGTTTCAAGTCTTTGACCAGTTTCTGTCCAATGTTTGTGTGTGATTGGACGTTATATACCCAACACCATTCCATGGACGACGCTCTCGCTCTTTAAATAAATATGTAGATTATTTTGAATATACAATGTATTCTTATTTTGAATATTTAAAATGACAAATGAAAAAGACTAGGTCCTTTTAACAAAAAATATGTTGAAATGTTATAAATGTACAAAACATAGAATAAACAGTGAAGACACAGCTTATCTTTATCAAAGTATGACATCAAAAAAAATCATTGTTCACGTGAATTTAGTTTAAAGAATCATCGGCATTATAAGCAAACTATGTCTTATATTTTCCCGAAGAAATAAGGTGCAGTTTGATTTAATTAAAACGTAAAACTGTATAATTGTTATTAGATTTGAGTCATATCTATTAAAGTGGATTGGTCTAAAATTGGCATATTTTCATAGCTATTTCAAATAGGTATGAAAACAATAGAAACACATGTATATAATCTGGATATTCTTATGAAATATTTCTTTAAAAAAAACTAAAGTGATTTAGTATGAGTATATATATGATGAATAATAATATTTTGTTCTAGATCACTTTATCATCTGCAATTGTATCTTTATGTTATATTGGATCATGCATGTATCCAACGATTTTCATAAAATTATTTTGTGGTTTGTTTTCATGTATGATACTGAATACAATCTGGTATAACAGATCTTCTAATATTCACCGTGTATATCCAGTAACGCCAGAATGTGAAAATAACGCACAATTCGCGCAATTGACAATTGTTGACTGACATAAAATTATTATTTGCCCACGTCTGATCTTGTTAGAAAATAAGAACAATAAATAGAGGATATTGAATGAGTGTAAGTTCAATACTGAATTTATTGCACGAGTTGAATAAATTATATTATGCGAGCCTCTGGCGAGCATAATATTATTTTATTCAACGAGTGCAATAAATTCAGTAATGAACTTACACGAATTTAATATTCTATTTATCACATACCCAAAATAAAGACCGTTTAAAGTGAAAAAGAGTCATTTTTCATTGACGCGCCTATAGTATAACGCTAACATTTAGCGCGTCTTTACACTATGTTTGTATAACGCTAATGACGTCACGTCAAAATATATGCACGGCCGTGCAATACCATTTTTACGGAGTCGCAAAATCGGCACGGGTGTGTGATAAACTTAGTTTGCAAATAAATTGAATATAAAAATAATAGAAAACAATCAAGAGAAGAAGTTTCTGTATATTTTATGCCTGAAATAATGCACCAGTAAAGCTTAAAAGTCTCCATATGTCCTTTTTTGCGTTGGCGTGATGTGAAACCCAACCAAGACAGACATTTGGCTGGTAAACTTCTGTGAAAATTGATTATTTATTTAATTTATCTTTTCTCTTACATAAGGAAGTAACTTGTATTTATTTTACTTATAGAGACTATAATGCCCAAAGCTTGTAAAAAAGCATAACCTTATTGCCCTCTGCTAATTCACCAATTCACTTTTAACCATTTGCAAATGTTAGCGGAGATATTGGATCTAAGATATTTGTGTATTATTTAGTCCCTACTTCGATAAATGCAGATTCTAATGTAAAATTTTTCTTTCCAGGCGGATTGTCGGTTTCTCGGGTATCCCATATACAGTTTACCAATGTTTATTGCTATTTGTGCAATTATCCGTTGGGGACGAAATGTTTTTACATCACTCCTGATAGACTCGTACCCAGTATAATGGTTATCCTTGACCTGTCTCGTCTGCGCACAAGCTTGCCATCAAAGAAGCAACTACAAAAGCCTTGCAGTGACGACCAGTTCTACGACGAATTCTTTGTAAAGATAAATTTTGTTTTCTTTAAAGTGGATGGGTCTACAATGGAAGTATTAAGAAAAACAATCAAACAAAAAGCAATAGAAAATAAGAAATGTAGATCTATCACTTGAATATTCTTATACAATATTTCTTGGAAAAATATATTGATAAAGTTCTAAGTGATATAATATAAACATTTATATAATAAATAATACTATTTTGTTCTAGAACATTTTATTATCTGTTATATAAATAAATGAGCCGCGTCATGACAAAACCAACATAGTGGGTTTGCGACCAGCATGGATCCAGCATGGATCAAGACCAGCCCGCGCATCCGCGCAGTGTGATCAGCATCCATGCTGTTCGCTATCAGTTTCACTGCGGATGCGCAGGCTGGTCTGGATCCATGCTAGTCGCAAACGCATTATGTAGGTTTTGTCGTCACGCGGCTCATATGTAATATCGGATCGTGTACCTAGCACATGCCAACAACATCCATTTTATGGTTTGTTGTTATGACAGATACTATTTATCGTGGTCGTGGGGTTAGAGCCGATGACTTCTAATCCAGTTACCTCTCTGGCGTGGGTCCGATCCCCGGGATATGCTTTGGTAGTTTAGCACGGAGGAAGGTAGTCTAGTACTGGTGTAATTCTCCAGGAACGTTGGTTAGGAAACTACCCACCTATATGACTGAAATACTGTTGGGAAAAGGCGTAAAATGAAACAAACAAACAAATCAACAATTATTGTTGATTGTATAACTAACCTTCCATTATAGATCAATTCACTTTAATATTATACTATCTATGTATTCTACTATGTCATTTTCATGGCAAGTTAATGTGAACCATTGTTGCTTTGCTTCAATGTATAGTTTTTAACACGAATTTGTTGTCACTTGATAAAGCGCTGTGCTGATTTCAATTTCCATACAATCTATAATAATATTATTTGTAAAATGTATAATAATACTACTTGTTAAGTTTTTTGTTTAAAACTGTTGTTGGTTTCAATATGACAAGCTATTTTCGCCATTATATCCCGCCACTACCATTTAGATCGTTCCTAGAACTATTTTGTCAGTTTTAGGTAGAAATTTACATTTAACATTTTGTGAATAAAAACCAAGATTTGATATCGGGATTATAAAAAATTCTAACACGACCCGCATTTTTCCCTATTGAACATAGAAGAACTGAAAGTGTGTATTATTATGCAATAGAGTCACTGTTTGACGTTCTATATTTAGACGTGTGACGTAATCATTGTACATGTGACGTAACCGCTATGAAATCCGACGCGCTGACAATAAGTACGGAAACAAATCAGGCGCAATTTTGCTTAATAGCAGGTACGGCACCATTTATTTGTTTATGTCGTGTTAGAATCGAAATAATATATCCAAATCGGTGATTTTATCGCTGGATAACATCACTGTTTGTCGTTCGGATGCGCAACATTATATCACTCGGGCTACGCCCTCGTGATATAATTCCTCGCATCCGAACTCCAAACAGTGATGTTATTGAGCTATAAAATCACAGTTTGGGATATATTATTTCTTAATCATTCACTCATTTATGAACGTATTTTTAAAAGGTAGACAAGTCATCAAACTGAATAATTTCTTTACAACCTAATCTTATCAAGGACCTATGGTGGCAGATTTCTTGCCATGTCGTACTTTTGCTCTGCGGGTCGAAAAGTCGAAAACACGAAAATACGACAAAGTAAAACTTTTGTCGTAACTTCGCTCCGAGGGCGCCAGGCATAAACACAAAACAGACAACAATTAAAGTGGTGACTATCATATTTTCGTGTTTTGCCTGCCGCTCGCAGAGCTATAATAAGACAAATTAAGTGGTATATTTTTCCAGAGACATAGATCTATATGTTATCTATGTCTCAGATTTTTCGTATTTTCGCGTTTTCGCCTGGCGCCCCGCCGAGTAAAATTACGGTATGGACCATATGAGCCAGATATTTCACCAACACATGCAATATTTCGACCGGAATGGTTTGTGAGTTTCATTATCGGATAAATTCTGTTTTAAATTCATTCAATATTAGAAAAGTATTGTGGGGCAAATATATATTTAGAGGTTTTTTAACCGCAAACATACGTTATAATTTCAGAAAAAATGCAGGCAGGTGAAATGCCGAATTTTTGAGATAGCAGCCGCCGGGAAATGTGTTTCAATTATGTTAAGAAATAAGCTGAATTATGTATTCAACTTCGAAATTGTTCCGTCGCAGCCATTGAACACATCATCTTTAGGACACATATGGAAGGCTTTATCTGTATCTTTACGTGATAAATTTGGCTTTAGACGCTGTTCGATTTGTAGTGTAGTCGTAAAATTCACCATGACAGAAACAGGCAATAATAGTCATGAACACGTAAAATTCTACCCATCCTTCGTCTTTACAACGTCACCTTCCTGTGAATGGAACTATTTACTGTACCGTGCTGAACAGCTACGCCAAACTGTGTCACTTTGGAATGTAACCTACATGATTAGGTATGTCAACCCCTCCAAAGACTACGAAATGAAAATTAATATACTTCCGGTGATTTATCAACGCAACAAATGTGCTTCGTACTACCCCGACAGATTTAATTGCCCATGGACAACGCTGACGTCCACTGAAATGATTGAGTTAAGGTATTCCGACTCTAATAGTGAGGTTTTTGAAACTGCAAATGGTTATTATTTATAGCAAGTATATGCTATAACTCATTTATTTTCAAGTTTTCAGTCAGATTTACCGTCTGATTTAAATTTTATACAAAATTGAAGTTTACAACCCTTGATCGCCAGATTGACCCAAAAGTCCGAGCACCCTGCCAGACAAAAAGAAGTAATTTTTCTTATAAAAAATGAAAAAATAAAACAAAACATATATATGTGTGTTGGTTTTTAATTGTACATCACAAATAAATAAGAAAAATATGCACCAAATATAGTATACAGTATTAAAATGTTTAAAATGTTGCAGCTCGGGTTTGGAAAAAGGAGAAAAAACACGAAAGTTAAAAACAATACATCTATGTTTTTTACCTATATTACTCTGAAAAATATTAGTGCAACACATTTTAAGGACATAGAAATTATCTAGAACACCTAATGAATAAAATAGCAGATAATCAAAAACTTTTACCGTACTGATTGTGAAGAATTCAAGTTTAGAGTAGTAAACTATTTCATTTACACTTTAGAGTAGTAAACTTTTACATTTGCATTATCATAAACTATTTCTTACTAAGGTCTGTCGTCTCCAGATCAAACGTCACCAATGTCGGGTTTGTGAGCTGAATAGGTTTGAAGTCTCCTTTGGGTATTGGGGCTGGAATAGCCTCTATATCTGCATTGGTCTCATGGCCAATTCCTCAAAATCAATCACACAAATGATAAACATTTTTGTCTGGTCTTACCGGACAATTTGTCATAATGTATCAAGTTTTAAATTAATGAAACTTGCAAACATAAACATTATTTTTCATCCTTGAACAAATCTATATGGTATATATTATTATACTATATTAGTAAAATATTATATAGATACAGCTGCCAGAACACAAATTTTACTAACCAGACTGATAAGAGACTCCTTCCAACACCTCCTGGGCACCCTGGTTCACCGCCCGCTCTTTCTTCAACTCCAAACGGCGTCTTTTCGTTGAGGGAAGTTCCATTTTGGCCTGGACACGCTCACGATTTGTCTGGCACTTCTCAGCATGCTTGAGTGTGTGGACCCCAGGGGACAAGCCAGCATCTACATTTGCCTGCAATTATGGAAAAAACATAGTACAGATTACCTTATCTTGCTCTATTGTCTAATAAGTATGAAATAATAAGAGTTATATAACAACAGAACAATATTTTTTTTAATTTTTCTTTTTATAAATAATGTACTTTTCTCTTAAAATACCCCATAAATGAGTGTTATAGCAGCCAAAAATTTCTTATCTTTGTCAAAGTATTAAATAAATAATTTTTAATTTTAATCAGTTGTACCTTTCTTATCCTTTGTCCAAATTGAGACCAGAATGCATGTAGATCTGGAACGTGTAACTGTAAAATGAGACAACTGTAAAAAAGAACAGAACATAAAACTTAAACACCAGTAACAAAAAAAACAAACAACATTTTGCACACCTGAGATATATTGTTTTGATTACTTAGAATACTGAAAAGTTCAGGACAGATCTATATGAGTGTTCAAAGAATTTAATTCAGCCAAAACAGATAAAAAATAGCAGATAGGCAAGCATTTGTATTTGCATTTTCGGCCCAATGGTCATTCTTTGTGTAGCTTTGTATATTGTATGTGATTAAAAACTCAGGTGCACTACATCAGCAAACAAGAAAAATAATAAACATGCAAACTTGAAATACTTTTTCATAAATGTGCATTTACGCACAATAACCAGAACACATTTATTTGAATTACCTCTGCGATGTACTGTATTCCTAGAAAAGATTTCGCGCGTTTTAAGTTAGCGCTTTTCGCGGTAGGCATGATTCCGCGAATCTTTATAGCCGCGAATATGTCACTTATAACAAATCCGCGAACATTTCTAGCTTCAACCAAATAAAAACATAAACATGCAGAATTTTTATTATAATCTCTACTTCTCCAGAAACATATAAACACATGTGCTATAGAAATGTGTAAAAAAAATGTATGTATGTTATAGATACCTGTTTGGAACCTGAAACAAATTTTCAATTATTAGTAATTTTCATGCTTATTGACGTTATTCGCTAGTCACGGCGTATACAAAAACATTTACAGTTTGCGTACATTGAATGTTTTTATTTGCTTGGAGTAGGTGTAATCCTTTGTTAAAAGTATAATATTGATAAAGTGCTACATTGATGTTGTTATAATGAAAGCAATGTACTGTCCGAAACTGTGTAATAAATTACGTATCGACATTTTGAAGATAATGTCAGTATTAATTTAAAAGAGAATAAAAGCTTATGGGACTGATTAAATCTTACTTAATTACATAGTGAAAAAGGTAAGGAATTAAGTAAAAGTGTTCACGGAACAACCGTCCGTGTTCGACAAGTCAACAAATGAAAAAGTATCGAGTAACGTAGCGCTTCGGGCGCGACTTGTTAAAAAAATAAAATAATTAAAAGAACCCAACAGGCAATACCTCCAAAATCTATAATTCAAGCCGTAGCGACTTAATATTCGCGGAATTCGCGGTTACTACAAATCCGCGAAAGTTTGTCTCCGCGAAAATGCCGACGTTGTGAAAAACGCGAAATATTGTATCCGCGAACATTTCTAGGAATACAGTAATGTCTTCCTTCATTGATGCAAGCTGCTGTAGCGTGGACCCTATAGTCAAGAGACTTAGTGTTTCCATAATGGAAGCTCTTAGGCGCTCTTATTGAAACTTCCCTGTTGGCATGTTCACAAGCTTGTGATGAGCCAAGATCCGCATATTGCTCTGCATTATCAGCAAGAGGTTTAAAAATCCCCTCCAAGGCTGCCCGAAGTTGTTCGTCCTTCAATGGAGCCTTGTAAGGCAGACTTCTGTGGACATAACTCTTCCTGTCTTCTGGTGAACGCTTATACCCACAGAATCTAGGATGGCACATACTGTGATCACCAAATTGATGCGGAACTAAAGCATTCAAGTTTTCTCTCAGAGCATCCTTATCACCAGCATTTTTTGCAAAAGCATATTTCAAACACTTTTTGAAGATGGAGGATAGTAATTTTACTGATTTTCACATTTTTAGAGTGATGAAGACTGAAGAGATGTTTTCCAACATTTTTAACGACATGATTTTTTGTCAAATCTCTTTTTTTAGATGTATATTTAGATTGTTTTTTCACTCTACCTATGAGTGTATTGTCACCATCTCCTTCAACATATTCTATCGGAGTCCCTTCATCCTTCAGTTCCTGCACTCCTTTCTCCCCACTGACACTTTCCATCAGTTTGGCACTCCCACGATGGTTTCTAACACACAGGTGAGGTCTGACTGCTTGACCCTTACGGTTGCGTGCCCACCAGTTACACGTTCCACAAACCCTGTTGGATACAATTGACTTAAGAACCTTCTTCCCATACTTTGACTTTGACATGAAGAATGTGTGTGCTGAAAGAAAATGAAAACTTTATTTATATTTATTAATACTAGCTGCCACCATTTCATGCAGAGTTCTAAAGTTTTGTACAATAAGATAAATTTCTTTTTAACAATATAAATTAAAAGTGAAATCAGTCAACCAATAACGTTTTGACCCAAACAAACTCAATATTTCCTATCTATGGGCTAAACAAAAAAGGCAGAAATTTCATTACAAAGCTTACAGGTTAAACTATCAAATCCACGTTTTTGCCAGGCGGTGTCAACTGAACAGGACATTCCAAGTCTGGTCCTACACTGAAATTTGTCTTGAAGGCGAATTTTGGCTCTTTCACAAGAGATCTTTCTACAGCCGTCAGGTTGGGAATTTTGTCTTCTGGAAATAAAAATCAATATAATTATTCACAAATTAAAGGGACTCCACTGAGGTATTTTGACATGATGGGACTGAAAATATTTTTTCCAGATAAATCTACGATTTGATGTAGGTTTAGACCACTAATTTTTGTGCAAAATTTCAGATTGAAAAAAATTACCCAAAATGAAAAGCGGTAAAACGCTTTTCACTCAATCGGGCTGAGAAAATCATTAAAATACGATTTTCAATTTATTTCATAGTATATTTCTTAACTATCTTTGCATATATTTCTGTTTAAAGTGCCCCAGCTCATCTATGTAAGAAATTCAACTGTAATGTTTTTAGGCTTTTAAACCTAAGTGAAGTCCCTTTAATAAATGTATAAACATTTCTCCATTTCTGAAATCAGGTTAACTATAATGCAGCATTAAAACTGTGTGCAACTTTTGTTAAAATGGGAACCATTCAATCTAATTTTAAATTGTGTGTGAAGCTCCTGAAATTTATATAAAGTTGTAAAGTGCTATAAAAGTTAAATGTAATGCCATTTGCAGTTTATTATATATGTAAGAGATACCATACTTTACAAAACTTCTTAGTAAACCAATGCTTCAGTAATCTAAAAAATACCTGGTAAGTCGTTCCTGATTGATGGGTGTGTCGCCTAAATCACTCCAATTACCATCACCTTTGTCAGCCTCGGCACTGGCACAGGACTGTCGCAGCACCTCCCTGGAAATAATGCGATACTGTATTTACCAATGTTGGAAAATAAAGTCTATAAAACAGTGAACTAAGAAATTTGTTAAGTTGCACCCTGTCACCCGAACTCTCTGCTTCTACAGTAATCACTTAAGTTGTTATACCACTACCACAAATTATGTTGACTGCATTGTAACAGGACATGCATAAAAGAAAATGCACTGCAGGTATGTCAATTCTTTATGCTTGCTAAAATTATACAGACTGGGACTTTATATATAAAAAGAAACCTAACATGATTAAAAAGTATGGTATAAATATGTTTCTTTACTTTGTATGAGGGGATGCATCTGGCATTGCTCCAATTCCAAGGTTTTCAATTAGACTGTCTATAGACTGCTTTGCCTCATCAGTCTCTTTTTGTGAAATCTCACTAAACATACAAATACATGATAGTTAATGAAATGGAATTTTTATGATTAGTCATGAACAATGACTGACAGACATTAACAAACTACTGACGGTATTTAATTTACATGTGAATTTTTTTATTGACCGTTAGACAGCTATAATAGTAATTAATATTAGTTTAATAAAAAACAAAATTATATTATTAAAATTATTTAAATTACTTTTTATCAGAATAAAACTTACTCCATTTCCTGCTTGAAGGCCATTTTGGCAGCTGCCGCTGATGACTTAACAGAAATCTTCTGTACTGTTTCTCCAGCCCGAGTTTCCATCTTCTGTAAAGTAATAAATTATTTGGAATGAGTGGTCCCTGAATTTTTCACCGCTTAGTTAAAAAATGTGAATAAGAGTGATCACTGGAGCACCTATTAGGTGCAAAACTAGACTTCACTTAGTTACAAAATGCATCAGGGAAAGTTTTGTTTTGAGTACAACATGTATAAAAAAATGTTTTGTGTAATGCTTCAAAATACAGTTTGTACATTTCAAATGAATTATGACTAATTTACAAAAATAATATGAGTTCATACCTTTAAGTTGGAGTGACTTATAGTTGGGATGTTTATTGTGGCGAAAATGTTGTTAACACGATCTGGGCCCCCAATACTGTCTATCATTGCTGTAAATAAAGAACAATTTTTTATTATACATGGATTTGTATCAAGGCTTCTTAATAAAATTTGTGCAATTAAATATTTGTATTTCAAGACTGGTTACATTATTATACCAATGTGCACCTAAGATGTGTGATGATTAATATATGCATAATTATGCTCATGCAACAGCAATAATATGCACACATAACAAATACAAATGTAGCTACTTTATGCTGTGGTGACGCGTCATAATTAATTGTGAACATGACTAACTCTTATTCACATGACATAAAATGATAAAGACATGTAAAAAAAAGTAATAAACATGTACAAAACTCTGGAAACAAAGTGATCCCCCGGAAGCATTAATAAGAATTGCAGACTCGGTTTGATTGAGTCTGAACATGAGGGGTACTGAATAAGTGCAACATCCCTCACGACCCCTAGCACCGGCTTGAGCAACACATTACAGTGTTGGCATCAATGATCCCGAAGGACAGGAAAATATAGCAACACTGAAGTGAAGTACATGGCAACTTTTTACGGCTGCCACACGGCAGTTGTGAAGTACAAAACTCTGGAAACAAAGTGATCCCTCGGAAGCATTAATCACAACAAAATAACAAAAGAATTGCAGACTCTGTTTGATTGAGTATGTACATGTGGGATAATGAATAAGTAAATCACATCTTCTGCACTTATTAATTTAACTCAAATTATAACAATCCAATATTATTTCAATGCATAGTCAATCTTTAAGTTTAATAGGCATAGTCAATCTCTCTAATTTTTCATAATAAATTTCATTCCATATTCATTTCAATAAAATGAATGCATGTATCATAAAAATAAGCATACCTGTCCCAAGTTTAGTATTTGCAGCAAAAATTATAAATTTGTTTTCAAATTGAAGTTTTATGAATAAATAATACTTACCTGGAATAACAGTATGAATACTCTTTTTCTGATCCGCATAATAAACTTTCTCCCGGAAGTTGATAAACTTTTCGTGAGGCGCATGCGCACTCTCGGCAAGTTATCTACTTCCTCCTCTCCCAATAAACGTCAGTTCCTTTTCTGGCGAAAGTATTCGCCCCAGGACTGAAAGAAAGAGGGGAGGTTGGGAGGGTAACTGTTATTCCAGGTAAGTATTATTTATTCATAAAACTTCAATTTGAAAACAAATTTATAATTTTTATTTCATAAATAAAAACTTACCTGGAATAACAGTATGAATAAAACCAGATTTTACAGCAATGTAAGACTGGTGGTGGGAATCTTTCATAAATAATCATATACTTCAAAAAACTAAGAAATTCATTCCTACTCACCTTAGTAGAATGAAATGAGCATGATCTTCATCATCTGTTTCTTCCAAACATACAAATGAGGAATTCCTATTGCTTCTTAACAGTCATATATACAAATGTATATTTACAAAATAGTTCTATCCCACTGTATTTACATACAAACATCATCATTTAATGGACATCTTCCTCAATGTCTTGACATCTTTCTCGATGTCTTAACATAAAAATAAACAAAATATCCTGCGATCCGCAAGAATTAAGAGAAAAGTTCCAAATGAAGTGATTACACATTCATATAATCTGTATTTATAGTCCTTAAATAGTGCCGAGTAAACGTAGTTTCTCTTGACCAATCGGCACTTTCCATTATCTGTTGAAGTGAAGCACCTTTAAACAATGCAAAGGAAGGCCCAATGCTGCGAGTAGAATGACCTTTTATTTTACCTACGTCTTTACTTTGTGACTTGTAACAAAACTTAATAATGCTAACCAACCATCTGGATATGGTCTGAGCTGAAACAGGTTTATGGGGTTTCTTTGTTGCAATGAACAACTTAACAATTTCTTGGTCAGATCCTGCATTACGAAATTTTTCTGTTCTTTTTAAATAATGAAAAAGCACTCTTTTAGGATCTAAAGTCCTGTTTTTTGGTAATGCTGGAATGAAAATATTTCTATCCGAATGATTCGGTCTATCTTGCTTTGATAAGCCAGTTCTAATAAAAGTCAATCCTTTCTTCTGGACATTAACATAGTTTTCACCTAAACGTAACGATTGCAAATCACTGCAACGCCGAAAAGTGGTAATTGCCAACAGAAAACAAACTTTCCAAGTAAGATAACGTAAAGATGCATCCTTCAGCGGTTCAAATGGAGCTTTCTTCAATGAATCTAAAATGAAAAGAAGATCCCATTCAGGTACTAATTTTTTTAAAGGAGGACGTTCGTTGAAAACAGCTCTTAACAATCTTATAATAAAAGGATGTTGTCCGATAGGTGTATTATCAACTGGGCCCAAAATTGAAGACAACATCGATCTATAACCATTAATAGTTCTGTATTTGAGACCTTTATCAAACAAATATGTCAAAAAATCTGCACATTCCGCTAAAGTGGCAATATACGGATCAATTTGTCTTTCACAACACCAGCTATTAAATTGTTTGAATTTGCTTTGATAATCCCTACGTGTGCCAGATCTCCATGACTTAGACAGTAATTTTCTTGTGTTTCCAGAAAGGCCCTTTGACGACCAATGTCTGTTGACAACAGCCATGCAGTCAAATGCAGAGACTCTGGATGAGGGTGTAATATTCGACCCCTGCATTGAGTCAAGAGCATTTGGCTGCATGGCAGATTGATTGGATTTGCAATTAACATTTTCAGTAACAGTGGATAATGATGTTGTCTTGGCCACTGATTTGCTATTAGTATTATTGTACAATGATATTTTTGCATGTGACTGAGTACTTTGGGAACAAGTTGTGCTGGTGGAAACGCATAAGCAAAGAGATTTTCCCATGGAATTGACAGAGCATCTAGGGCAAATGCTTGAGAATGGTGTATCCAAGAGCAAAACAGTGGAGTCTTTTTGTTCTGGAAAGTAGCAAACAGGTCCATCATTGGATGACCCCAAAGCTCGAACAATTTCAGAACCACTGTCTTGTTCAAGGACCACTCTGTCTGACATACTCTCTCCCTGCTCAGTGTATCCGCCAACACATTCTTCTTTCCCAAAATATGCGCAGCTTTCAGCAAAATATTGTTCTCCAGGGCCAGTTGCCAAAGGCGCATAGTCATATTGCATAATTGGGCTGATCTCGTGCCCCCCTGCCGATTGATGTATTGGCAAACAGTTGTATTGTCTGATCGGACTAGAACATTCTTGCCCTTCAGTTTTGATAGAAAATGTTTGAGACTGAACATTACTGCTAACATTTCCTGACAATTTATATGAAGCATTTTTTCTGACAAAGTCCACTGACCTTGACATGTCAAGCTGTTCATGTGACCTCCCCAACCGTAGCCACTGGCATCTGTGGTCAGTGTTATTTGAAAGTTGTCTTTCAGTAATGATCTGCCCAAGCCAATGTTCTGATCCAATAAGAACCAATTCAGATCCTGGATCAGTTGAGGTGTTAAAGGAATTTTTGTAGACAGATTCATTCTGATAGGGCTCCAATTTTTTAATAAATGAAGTTGTATAGGTCTCATGAACAGCCTGGCATTTGGAATAAGCTCTAGACATGAGGCTATCATTCCGAGTAGGACTAAGAAATGTCTTGCAGTGCATTGACCCTTTTGAATGTTTGACACAGCTGTTTTTAATTTTTCCAGTCTTTCCATGCTTGGAAACACTAGCCCTTTCATTAAATCCCAATAACTGCCCAGATAATTGAGAGTTTGCATTGGAACAAGTTGTGATTTTTCCTTGTTTATGATGAACCCTAAATGAAAGAGAAGGCTGAGTATTTGATAACGATCTTTCAACAATAACATTTTTGTTTTGTTTACTGCTAACCAATCGTCTAGATAACTTGCTAGACGAATATTGAATTTTCTCAGATGTGCGACTACCACTGAAATTATTTTGACAAAGACTCGAAGAGCACTTGTTGGGCCAAAACATAGTGTTCGAAATTGGTAAGTTACTCCTTGAAAATGTAAGCGCAGATACTTGCGATGATTTTTGAAAAATTTTATATGGAAATAAGCATCTTTCAAATCTATTGAAAAAGCCCAGTCTTCTTTTTCTACAAGGTTTAATATTTTTGCCAAAGTGTCCATCTTGAAATGTTGTTTGCGGAGATACTTGTTGAGGGGTTTCAAATTTATCACTGGTCTCATTTCCCCGTTCTTTTTTGGAACTAAAAATAATGTGCTGTAAAAACCTGAATTTGCTAGTTTTGGATTGACAACTTCTATAGCATTTTTTTTCTAAAAGAGATATTATTTCTTGTTTGATTATATTTTGACTTTTTGCAGGGACACGTGTTGATTTTATGCCTAAAAACTGAGGTTTTTCCTCGAATTCTAACTTGTAACCCTGGCTTATCACGTCTAACACCCATTTGTCTGTGGTGATTTGTTGCCAATGTGATAGGAAATGAGACAGTCTGCCCCCAACAGGTATCTCCGGATATTTTACTATTACACTTACCAAGTCATTTTTCATCTGTTTTTGCCACTGGCTTTCCTCTACCAGATGGGGGTCGTCTCGTCCCGTAGCTATAACCTCTGCCACGAAACTTTCCCCGGCTGTCAGATCTTGAGATCTTAGGGATACGAAAATTGTTCAACCCATACGAAGAAGTGCTTGGTTTTTCAGTCAATTTCTCTATCGGTTGTTTCTTTTTATACTCAGAGAAATTACCAGATGCTGATAATTTCCGTTTCTTGTTCAGATCTGGGATTAGATCATCAACTTGTTTACGTTTTTCTTTCTTGTCTTTCAACAAAGTTTCTAGTTCTTTGCCAAAAACACCATCCCCTGACAAAGGTAAATTGTAATAGTCCCATTTATCAGTTTGTTCATGCAGACCTGTATCCTTCATACAACATGATCTTCTAACAATATGATGGAAAGCACCAGTTCTTCCAATTTGGTCTAAACACTTCGTACTCATAGCAAAAATATCTTTGACCATCTGAGAAGCTTGATCTCTTTCAAAATCAGTAGAATTTAGCATTTGAAGTAGGTTACCGAGACTTTGTTGTATATACATTTGAATAACGAGGCCTAACCGAGCAGCTTGCTGCCCTTTATATGCAACTTTTTCCATCATCTTAGCTGGTTGTGTATATAACTGTTTTCCTTTAGCAAAAGAAGCCCTAGGCCCATATCTTTTAGTAAGACATACTTCTACCATATCATCCAGTGATGGCACCTCTAGCAATTTTTCAGCATCTGCATCAACTGGAAAAAGGTCAAAATTTTCCTCGGCAAAAGCAGACAAAAAGTTTGGTTGTTTACATCTATAACCACTATCAATAACCTCAATTTGTGATTTGTCCAAGGTTAAACCCTTTTTCTGTTCAACTTTTTTAACAACTGCATCTTCACCGAACATTTCAAATAAACATTTTCTTGTATTTTCAGAGAGATTTTCCACATTTTCCTCCCTATTGTTGTTTTTGTCCAACATGGCGCTATCATTATTTTCATGAGCAGGAGAAATTTGACCGCCAGCAAAAATTGACAACATGTCAGAGTCAGAATCATCTTCACTGGAGTCAAATAAAAATTTGTCACGATTTCCTTTAGAATTTGACTTTTTTCTTTGTCCATTAGTATCATCATTTAACTGATTTGTCACAGTTTGTTCATTTTTTTCACCGGATTGTTTATCTAAAAAAGTTTGCAACATTTTTTCCATATTACACATTCTGTTGCTCAATTCGTCGTATTTTTTCGAAAGACTTTTCTTTTTGCCTTTGTCTTTAGTCAATAGCAATTTATTAGCAGTATTTTCTCCTGCCGACACGTAAGAAACGGTGTCATTTCTACTCGATAGATCTCCACGTGTTGGCGACGCCATATTCTCGTCATGAGGCTCGTCAGAAAATCTGTCGTTTTCAGACGTAATTTCACCCTCTTCTGCATGATGACACGTCGCCATAAGACAAAACTGGATAAATCTCAAGTAGAGAAACTAATTTCCACTAAAGAAACTAATCAAAACTAAAAATTAACCGCGGACGAAGCGAATACTTTCGCAAGAAAAAGAGAACTGACGTTTATTGGGAGAGGAGGAAGTAGATAACTTGCCGAGAGTGCGCATGCGCCTCACGAAAAGTTTATCAACTTCCGGGAGAAAGTTTATTATGCGGATCAGAAAAAGAGTATTCATACTGTTATTCCAGGTAAGTTTTTATTTATGAAATAAAACATGGCATGCCTTTTTGTTTGTTTCGGTGTGTTTTCCCGTATGTCACACGGTTCACAGCTGCACAGTCCACATTTTGACATATCACGTACAAAAACCCTGACAGTCCTTTCTTCTGCTCACCGATAACATTATATGCAGTAAGAGGCACAGGCCCTAACCCACATTCTTTACAGACTTTTAGATTATCCAATAAAACACCAAATTCAACCACACGTCTACCTTCCCTCCACTTGTTGTTGAAAAATTTGTTTGTTTTCCTTTGTTCCGGTATTCCTGGAATATTAATGTCACCCGAAGTGTTCGGATTACCCACGACGTAGTTGTGGTCTTCTATAATATTTCTATTAGTCCGTAATTTTTCACAAACACCCCGTTTTAACTTAAAAAATCGTCCGTACTTATCTCTCACGGGCGCAGCCATTCTACTTTTGAAAACGAGGCTACCGCCTGGTTCCCGATATTTACGTCTTTCATACAGCGGAGCCGGGACCGGTTATATCTAGTTTACGCCGGTACTCGGCAAAGCGCGGAATCCCGACAATGTACGAAATAAGGCGTAATAAGACGAAGATTATTAGAGTCGGAAAGCCTTAAGAAACCAGACGGGGAATTCAACTACACTAGTGACGCGTCAGAATGAAGATGGCGATTTCGAACTGTGCATTTCAGCATACAAAAACTTAATAAGTGGCAGTAAGTCATGCAGTTTACACATTAAACATTTTACTGGAGCCCGTGTCATGTTTTTGGCTTTGTTTGCCATGTCAATGTTGAAAGATGTGTTCATGTAAATCACGTGTAAACGTGCGTTCTTTAGGAAAAGTTAGGTCAAATTCTTTATCGAAAGAGAGTTATGATTCAAATTGGACATGGATATTCCAACTTATTGATATGACTGTAAAAAAATACATTTTTTTACTTTAAAGAATTTCCAATACTTAACTGTTAACTATAATATTGTATCCAACAATACCTTATAAAATAGCCAACATTTTATTGATTTTTTAACATTGAGTGGACAAGATACATTAATGTTAATTTTCAATACCAAATTTTTAATTTCCTTTGATGAATTATCAAAACCAAAAACATTTAATTAACCAAGTTTTTCTGAAGAATGGAAGTTGTTGTAGGTTTTCATTATATGTATATATATATAAACATAAAACAAATCATCTTCTCTGAATTGACAAAGGCTAGAGGTTAGATATTTTGCATGAAACATTGTGTAGTGGATCTCTACCAAGATTGTTAAAATTAGAGCCCTGGGGGTCAAAATTGGCCCCGCCCAAGGGGTCTGTGATTTTTACTATGTACATATAGTAAAAACAGAAACCAAAACAAATGTTTTCTGAATAGGAGAAAGCTACAGCTTAGATATTTAACATGAATCATTGTCTGCTGGACCTGTAACTAAACCCTTGTGTCATAATTTTGCCCTGTCCAAGGGGACAGTGACATTCTTTGTTGTCCTTTTATGTACAGCCATGAAATTTAGATCATGTGCACCGGTTGAGATGTAAAATTGAATTTGAATATCAGCTGACCTAGAGTTTGACATTTGACCAACTTTCTTGTCCTTTGATGTAAGCTATGAAATTTGAACCATGTGATTGATGTACATTCATGAAATTTAGGCCCTGTGAAATATGACCTTGACCACCAAATTCACTAGAAATTTCAATTGTATAGAAACAAAAAAATATTCTGTTCCTACAGTACTATATAGTGTTGTATTATGCCATGTCATAGCGTTTTTTACAAATGCGATTAGCAAACTTGATTAAAGACTACCTAAGAATGCTACTGACAAAGTTTAATGATCATCTATCAATTAGCTCTGCAGATGAAGATGTCTAAAGGTTTTTCTATTTTTAGCCCTAGAGACCCCTAAAAGGGGCCAATCAAATTAAGATGAGCAAACTTGATAAAAGACTACCAAAGAAGGCTACAGACAAAGTTTGGTGATCATTCATCTATTAGTTCTGTAGAAGCAGATGTTTAAAGGTATTTCTATTTTTAGCTTTAGCGGCCCCTACAAGGGGCCAATCAAATTAATATGAGCAAACTTGATAAAAGACTACTTAAGAATGCTACAGACAAAGTTTGGTGATCATCCATCAATTAGTTCTGTAGAAAAAGCATTTAGAAGTATTTCTATTTTAAGCTATAGCGGCCCTTAAAAGGGGCCAATCAAAATAATATAAGCAAACTTGATAAAAGACTACCCAAGAATGCTACAGACAAAGTTTGGTAATCATCCATCCATTAGTTCTGTAGAAATAGATGTCTAAGGTTTTTCTATTTTTAGCCCTAGAGACCCCTAAAAGGGGCCAATCAAATAAATACGAGCAAACTTAATAAAAGGCTACCCAAGAATGGTACTGACAAAGTTTTGTGATCATCCATCTATTAGTTCTGTAGAAGAAGACATTTAAAGGTATTTCTATTTCAAGCTATAGCGGCCCTTAAAAGGGGCCAATCAAATTAATATGAGCAAACTTGATTAAAGACTACCCAAGAATGCTACAGACAAAGTTTGGTGATCATCCATCAATTGGTTCTGTAGAAGAAAATGTCTAAAGGTTTTCTACTTTAAGCCCTAGTGACCCCTAAAAGGGGCCAATCAAATTAATATGAGCAAACTTGATAAAAGACTACCTAAGGATGCTACAGACAAAGTTTGGTGATCATCCATCAATTAGTTCTGTAGAAGAAGACGTTTAAAGGTATTTCTATTTTTAGCTATAGCAGCCCCTACAAGGGGCCAATCAAATTAATATGAGCAAACTTGATAAAATACTACCCAAGAATGCTACAGACAAAGTTTGGTGATCATCCATCAATTGGTTCTGTAGAAGAAGATGTCTAAAGGTTTTTCTATTTTAGCCCTAGTGACCCCTAAAAGGGGCCAATCAAATTAATATGAGCAAACTTGATAAAAGACTACCTAAGGATGCTACAGACAAAGTTTGGTGATCATCCATCCATTAGTTCTGTAGTAGAAGATGTTTAAAGGTTTTTCTATTTTTAGCTCTGCTGAACCCTAAAAGGGGCCAATTGAAATGACATGAGCAAATTTAAGTGTGACTATCACAAGGATGCCACAGACCAAATTTTAGTTAAATATGCCCAGAAGTTTCAGAGAAGAAGATGATTGTTGACGCATGACGACGGACGACGGACGCTGAAGTATCCCCCTTTGTTACTAATAGCTCACCCTGAGCCTTCGGCTCTGGTGAGCTAAAAAAAGAAGACAATTTAAGTTCTTAATTGCAAATATAGAAACTTAGGAATGTAATGTTCAAAGACATTTTACACGTGAAAAGATTAACTCCGAGAGAGACATAGATCCGACATGAGAACACATTAGTCAAAATATGTCGTCCCTTCGTGTTTTCGCATTTTGAGGCGAAGACGCGAAAATATTTGGATGGCGTTAATCAGCCACCATACATAATCCATTCAAGGCGAATTTCTCAAGCATGTCGAAAGGATGTCCGGAGATGTGTTAATATAAAACGCTGATATTTCGTGTGTTGATAAAAATACTGTTTAGATTCTATATGGTTTTGAAAAAAAAACTGTTTCTATGTAACTTTTCACGGAAATGGGCTGTACAATGATTGCGTAAAAACAATAAAATGTCGGCTGTAGAAATCGAAAGGCATTTTGTCACGTGACTTTTGCCCATGCTACCGAAAACTACCCATCACAATATCACGGCGTTGAGACGCCGTGAAATAAAACTCAGTACATGTATATTCATTATTTTGTCATCTTATCATTTATGATTTAATTGTTCCAATGTTTTTCTTGATGTAATGCTCGTGGATCATATGTGATTTATTTCATAATAAATCTTCTTCTTCTTCTTCATCGTCATATGTAAACAAATAGTAATTTAATGCTGGGAGTTTTTGTTGTCTAAGTTTATTCCAATATCAGGGCTGGGAATCAAAACTGCGTCGTATCCTACAAAATGTAAACAAACGCCGCCATCTTGGAACGAAAAATGTATGTTTTTGTTAATAACTCATTTTGTTGGAAATGACTGAAAACCAGATATATGTATTAACACGCTACACTATTTTCCGCTTCGTTCGGTATATGTTGCTTGCACAACTATTTTGTAAAACAAAAGTTATAGCGAACTTGCAACTCGAAGCGGGGCAGAATTTTTATGAAAATGTGTGGATACGACGCAGTTCATATTGCTTTATCTATCGTTTTTTCCTTCAAATCAATTATATATTTGTTTCAGAGTTCACCATAAACTTCGAAATATAATTTTTTCATCATTGACTAAAATTTCATAAAAAAGAGATGTTTATTTTCTAAGAAAATAATGATTTTTACGAAATGATACGACGCAGTTGAAAATAAAATATGATACGACGCAGTTGTAATTTTAGCAGTCTTTTCAACAGGGATAATTTTGGCAATAAATTTCTATTTTATGCAATAATCACTTGCGCTAGATAAAAAAACCCAGATCATTTGCGGTGTATAGCAATGTTCTGTTGCTTTTGATTATTTAGAATACATTGTGCCATGTCCAATATAACATTTAATTTGAAAGTTTACATTGCGGAAGCTACTTTTCAGTTAAACATGAACATGTTACCTAATTGATCATAATATCTGAAATAATTTCTTATACTGTCCTGTATGTTCAATATTATCCCTATATTTTTTTTCGCAAAAATATTGTAGAAATCTATTAACTTGAATTCATTTTGGCTAGCTACGCTCTAAGTTAACTGTGGTTCTGCATGTTCTTGGTAATGACTGCTTTTTTGTGGTTTGTTTTCAAACTTTCACACTACACATAAGCTTTACTAGGGGCAATGATTTCAGTTGCGCCTTTGTGCATTATTTCAGGCAAAATGTTGCACCTGCAGAGAACCGATCGACATTTTTAAACTAGCTTGATAGGTTTTCCACACGAAAGAATAAAAAGTCCCTGGTGGTTTTCGAATTCATAGCAGTTCAGTTCAAGTGATTTGAATTCGGTAAACATAAACACCTGTCTGATTTGTTTTTTCAACAAAATTTGTTAACGTCAGCTGTACATCTAAGCAGCTTTTTATTAACTTCTGGCATGAAGTTTTAAGATTATAAATATTTTAATTAATTATAAAGAGAATAACATTTACATTTCTTGTTTCGGTATGACTAGCAGAGAAATTTTCAATGTAAACAGGGGGCAATCCTCTGTGAAGTCATTTTCTTAAAACTTTTGTGTAAGTTTTCAGGCAATTCATTATCAAATAAAAGTCACACTTTAGTATATATGAAGGTATGTTAAAATACCATGTCTCTAGCCTGTTGAAAATTCGCAGTGATAATCTGTTCTAAATTTTCTGTTCAATATTGTGAAAACTTCTTTAATACTGTTGAAAGGTCATGTTTGCCTATATCTGTATCAAATTTATCGGTACACAGCGTAAAATACCTTTGCAAAACGGACACCTTCTTTACAAAATGATTTGTAGTTGTATCATATGTAACTCGATTTTGAAAATTTAAAGTTTTCTAATGGAGAAAAATGATATTTAAGTGCAAATATAGAAAATACACTCCGTAGACCTTTTCTTATTGGCGATCAATAAAATCAATACGACAAAATCAGCGGCAAAGTTCCGCGGCGCTGAACATAAAATGACTAAACTGAACGCATAGCCTACTTGCAAAAATATATTGTAGCTTAACCATTTATAATATGATTTAAAAAAATTAAATGTTCAGTTTCAAATAATAAAGCTCATCTGTTCTCACCGATTATTAAGAAAATGAATACAATAAAATCGGCACGTAAAAGACATAAGTAATAACAGAATTGACGGAAATTATTGCTAATTACAAGTAACAAAGGTATGCATGCAATTTGCGCATAGCTCTCTTCCCATAGCAAGAGACCTTTTCAAAAATTGTAATTCTTTCTCTTTTTTTTTTTTTTTTTTTTAAAAAAGGTCATTCCTGATTAATACAGGGTCCAGGAGAGGTACACTGGAATATTGAATTTTGTATCAAAAATGGTAATCACTCCAATTTCAAACCCACGGGAACAATTTTAGAAGTACGCTACATGTTGTCATATGGGTGTGCGATCACGTGTTTCAATGTATATCGCATTTGATACAGCTTTTCGGAATTTGTAGCTGCTTATGATAGGTACTAAAATGCGACCTAATAGAATTGTATTACATTTCCATTTTTATGGAACCATTGAGTGGCCTCTGCTTTTGACTTAAGTTGTAAACAAGTAATGTTGTTGGACGTTATAAGCATACCTAGCACATAATTTAAATAGTTTAACCAATATGCAGACTGCAATGAAAATACAACTGCGTCGTATCATATTTTATTTTCAACTGCGTCGTATCATTTCGTAAAAACCATTATTATCTTGGAAAATAAACATCACTTTTTAATGAAATTTTAGTAAATGATGCAAAATTATGCTTTGAAGTTTATGGTGAACTCTGAAACAAATATATAATTGATTTGAAGGAAAAAACGATAGATAATGCAATATGAACTGCGTCGTTTCCACACATTTTCATAAAAATTCTGCCCCGCTTCGAGTTGCAAGTTCGCTATAACTTTTGTTTGACAAAATAGTTGTGCAAGCAACATATACCGAACGAAGCGGAAAATAGTGTAGAGTGTTAATACATAATCATTTCCAACAAAAAGAGTTATAAACAAAAACATACATTTTTCGTCCCAAGATGGCGGCGT